CACATAGCTAAATCTTAAGAGTGTTCATTTTTTTCGTTCAGATAGGATTATCTTTTGTATTTGCTGCTTATGGTGATACATATTTTTGTTCAAAATCATTTGATGCTTATGAAAGTTAACACGAACAATTAGCAATTCCTTTTTATTTACATATGATTGAAAGAACAAAAAATAATTTTTATTAATTAATTGTTAACCCTTATTTAAAAGATGGTAAGACAAGTAACTCCTTGACATATAAGCGTCATTCTAATAATCACACAAAAAAAAATGTTGATAAAATCTTATATTTCAATCAAATAGAGATTTGTATTATTAACTATCAAAAAATAATTACGTTTAGGAAACAGTCATTTGAATTTAATCGTGTACTAATGTTTGTGTCTGAGCTAAGCAATGTTGCGTGTTAACTGAATAACTCAACGATGGCAATAGCTAACGGTCTGTAGTTTTCAGTAAGCAAAAAAGAACTCCAAACGTTTTTTATTTGTTTAATACTATATGAGACAGAATTATTTTAAAACCCATCATATTTGCAAAACATTGAAAAATAATTGTTGAACAAAAAGCTAAAACGGGATACCTTTTTCTCATGCATTTTTTATGCATCTTGTGCGAAAAACAATAAGTTTTCAGATGTTTATGGCATACCAAAAGTAGTGCTAGAGGCAGTTTAATATTCGATAGAAAGTTCACGAAAACATTCTCGTTATATATACTGATAGTAAAAACGATGTTATATTTATCATCGTTCTTTAACTATTACCATAACCATAAAAATTCGATAAGAGCTAGTTTCATGATATGTCATGATAAAACTAGATCATTTCAAAAAGGATTAAAGAAGAGAAATTTCTCGAACTTTCTATAGGATACCGAGATCTCATCACCAATACTTTTCGTGTGCTCTAAGTCATTTTGTCATATATATATGTTATAAGATCAAAACTTCTTCAGAGTGTTCCTTTTTTTGATTGCTAACAATTGAGAGTTCAATATTTTGAAATATGTAAGATGCTTTCTTAGATTGATGATGTTAATTGTAAATAAATTCTAGTAGATTTATACATTTTTGATATAGATATTTTAAAAAATCTTATCGAATTTATTTTTATTATCTTTTTTTTAGATTGAAATAATTGATTAAATAATCAAAATCGTTGATCAATAGTTTATCGAAGTTTTACTCATTTACCTGGTATACGACATTTTTTTTTCAAGTTTTTTTCATGTATACCTTCTTTCTTGTCGGTAACATCAAGCTGCTGCTAGTTTAACAGCTACTGGATAAACACATGCTGTTAAAAAAAAGATTTATTTAAAGTTTAATGTGAATTAGATGATTTTCAAGATAAAGATGGTGGTTTTGAAAAGAGTTATCACGAATTAAGTGAATATTATCTTTAATAACAATTTTATTTAGAGTTTTTTTTTTCTAATTTAAAGAACAAAAAAAAATTGTGAATTATCTAAAAGAATTATTCGATAAATAGATTATGATACAATTAAAGATGAGCGTAATAAACTTGGTGAAGATATTCATTGATATTCAATTGAAAATAAACGGTAAAAAATTATTTTTTTTATTTACTCTGTCTATAATAGACTTCAAGGTGCAAAATAAAAGCTTGTAGAATTACAACAACGTCTTCAACAATATCAATAGAAAAATGATAAAATGCATGAAAAAGTCATTATACTTGAAATCAAAATTTATTATTCTAAATTTGATTTCTGTTTTAACTTGAATACGAAGCTTTTTATTTAGCTTCGTGAGTCTGAACAACAATGTAATAAATATAACAAAAAGCAAGAAATAGTTAATCAAAATGTTAATATTCTGCTATTATCATCAGTAACTAAACGTGTAAAAATGTTAGAAATAGAAAGTTATTAAAGAAGAACGTGCAACATAATTATTCAGATAAATTCGTTATTTACAAAATGATAAAGAAGCGCTGCGAAAAAACTTTATGGTAAAATATGATATTCTATTTTTTTATAATAAAATTAAATTTATACCTGTAAAATTTTAGAATCAATGGTAATCGTTAAAATTCCATTAATTATAGCAAATAAAACCAGCATTAGTAGAAGAATTAGATAGATTTAAAATATCATATTATGATCGACATGTTGTTAATGCAGAAATTAAATCACTTAAACAAATAATACAACAACTCGAAGAAAAAATTGAATAACTTAGAAATGAATATTAAGAAATTATATAAAGAAAAAACATGAATATGCTGAAAAAAAATTACACGGATACTTTTTTTATAAACAATTACAACAATATTTTATCGAAAATCTCTATTTAAGATAATGTTTAGTCATCATATCGTTCTCAAAAGAAAGAAAATGACTCTTATTAAATGTTCTTTTGATACTATAGTCCTATCAATTAAAAGCGGAACTTAAATTTTGACTTTTTTTTGAAACATTTTATATATGTTGTTATTCATTCCCTAGTTGATAGGTATTGTATCTATATATGATTGATGTAGGATTGTGTAGTACAGCTCAACTACAGCTTATACTATTGACATCATTTAATTATCAATGAGAAGAAAAGAAATAAAACCAAATAAATAACAATTGTCAGCCACCATATTGATTTGATTTTTATTTGTTCATGTCTCATTGTAAATGGATGAATGTTTAACCAATAGAAACAGTATGCTATATACTACTATCCTACCATATGAAATCAATTAATTCCTTATTTTTGTTATAAAAGATTGAAAAAGAAAATAATGAAGTAATAATGGAATGAAAGTTAGAGCATATCCTATTAAAGTCTTCTTCTCAAAAAAGAACAATTTAGTTATTCATAAAAGAATGAATTTTGGAATTTTCATATGGTTAGATAGAACAGAAAAACCGCTACCAAATGGTATGAACAGACATTGGAAGTAAGGGCGTTACACTTTCCATTACTTTAACTTCCACTTGCCGAGGAATAGAGTCTTAATCATTGAAAAACTTTCGACTAATTAACAGTAATTTTATTACAAATGCAAGAAAATAGATATACATACAGGGTGTCCCAAAAGTCACTGTACAAAATTTTTTTCGCATAACTTCACCTTTGATTGAGGTTTATCGACTAATTGTTTTTTGTATGATGAATGACATCAACAAGTTTTAGTTTCTACGGACAAACTTCAAAAGTGCTCTTTGAAGCAAATACTTTTAATCGAAATACAAAAATTTTGTCTTTTTTCTAGTCCCATTAAAAGGTTACGCAGCTTTTCTTTTTTAATTACTTGAATTATTCTGAGTATGGGTGTGGGGTGTGGGTGCGTGTATGAGTGTTGATATCTTCACCCACACCCACACCCTCAATAAGGATCGATTTTTTTTGAGTTTTTATCGATAAACATTAGATGATTGACTATGCACAGATATTTTACATTATTTGCAGTATGAAAAACAATCATCGTTATATTTATTGGTAAATCAATATTTCAATAGTGAATAAAATTCATTATTAATTTCTTGATTATGCAAGCTTTGCCATCTACTACTTCATTCTAATAAAAACTGAATCAGTTTTACTCTTGTAATGACGAATGCATATTAATTAAATAAGTCTATTTATATACGGAAATAAAAATAAAAATGATTATTAAAACAAAAAAAAACATTTATTCATTATCATTACCATCGAATAATATAAAAAATTCGTCGATATACAAAAAAGTCTTCATTCAATAAGCATTTTCTTTTCAAACTTATTACCTTTCATTTTTCGTTCTACTGCTTCATATTTCTATATATATATATGCAGTATCTTTTTATTCAAATCGATCTATTTCAGTTGCAATAATAATAAAAGATTAATAAAATATATATTACAGGATGTATGAAAACGAAATCAGTGTTTTTCATTATTATGTGAAAGAAGACAGTCAGTTGTATATTTGATGACATCATCCTACGGCAAAACCAACAAACAATCAATGAATAATTCTTTTTCGTGGAGTTTCCTGTGAATTTTGTTGACTCCAACGAATGAAACGAACAAACCAGTGGTGCAAGTTTTTGTTGTCTCTGCGTTCTCCTCTTCCTATACATCTATCTGAGCACACATAAATAATACCTTACTTACTATGTGGGGAAAAAGCTTGACAACTAAACCAACAACAATCACAACAACCAATAATATTTTAAAATTTTATTAATCATGTTGGGTTTTTTTTCTTTTTTATGAATGACGACAATTCATTCATTTTAACTCATTTCTTTCTTACTCTTCCTTGTCTCTTCTTTTTGGTACAGAGAGACTCCACCCCCCCTCGTCCAATATTCATCGTTCTTTCGCCCACAACACACTCCTGAAAAAAACCAACGATCGAGGAAAGAAGCTTTTGAAGTCCATAGCAGCAAGACTGAAAAAAGTGTTGAGAAAAAGAACAAAAAGGTGTATAAATATAGGGCGACAATGTTTCACTTATTGCATTCATTTCTTCATCCATCGATTATGGACAAACAAAAACCGACAGAAACTGCTGCTAGTCAGGCAGCAGCGATCACTACCACCACTAATCGTGGTACTATGCTGTACCGACCTGTTCGTTGGGTTCTTCAAAATTTCCTGCTGGTATGGCTTGATGCCAATTTTGATGAATCAGACAATGATTTTAAAAATTCATTACAACATCTTCGAAAAACTGTGGCATCCATCACCACGTTTAAAGACGCTCAAGAATGCACCGATTTCCTTAGTGAATTTAAGAAAGAAAAGGTACTTATGATTGTTTCTGGTTCCTTGGGTCAACAAATAGTACCAGAAATTCAAACATGGCCGCAATTGGAATCGGTATATGTTTTTTGTGACAATCGATCATTTCGTGAACCATGGACCAGGAAAATATCTAAGGTAAAGGATGTGCGCACAGATATCGAACCGATTTGTAAAGCATTACAAATCGATCGTGAAAATTGTGATCGAGCTATGATCTCGATCAGCTTTAAATCGTGTTGATCCATTGTTTATGTGTACAGAATTATTAAACGAAGCGCTGTTGGAAGTTGAAGATGACGATGCAAAATCCATCAAAGATCTCGCTGATTATTGCCGCCTTCAAAACGATATATCTGAAGGTCAAATTAAACAAGTCGAAAGTGAATATCGTAATCATACACCAATATGGTGGTATACAGCTGAGACTTTTATATACTCCATGCATAATCGCGGTCTTCGAGTCCTGGATGTCGACATCATTCTAAAAATGGGATTTTTTATTCGTCATTTACATAACCATATTCAAGAATTACATCGCGAACAACAACGTAGCAGCGTGCTAAAAAAATTTCAAGTTTTTCGTGGACAAGGTTTGTCCGTGGCAGACTTTGAAAAAATGAAAAAAACCAAAGGAGGACTTATGTTCTTCAATAATTTCTTGGCAACAAGTCGCAATCGTGAGATTTCACTGGAAAACTTTGCACGGCCAGCTATACGAAATCCCACTTCAGTTGGTATTCTCTTCGTTATGAACATTGACACGGCTATTTATACAAATTCATCGACACCTTTTGCCGAAGTAAGCAAAGTTGGTTACTACAAAGATCAAGAAGAAGAAATACTTTTTACAACACATGAGATTTTTCGTATCGATCGTGTCGAACGAATTCACGATAATCAATGCGATCGGCTATACGAAGTTACTCTCACTATTGTGGGTAATGACAATCATGAATTGAACACACTTACAGCACATATACGTAAGGAACTTGATGACCGCCCAGGATGGCCTCGACTGGGTCGTATACTAAAAAAGTGGGTGAACCTGCAAAAGCCGAACAACTCCATAGAATTTTCCTTGAAAAGGCGTCTTCTGATGAAGATCAAGCGGAATACAATCATCAACTTGGCTGGGTGTATAAAGACATGGGCGAGTACTCAAAAGCACTTTTATTGCACGAACGATCACTTGCAATTCGGAAAATAGCTCTCCCTCCGAATCATCCCAGTTTCGCTAATACCTACAACAACATTGGCTTGGTACCTGAAAACATGCGAGACTACTCAAAAGCACTTTCATTTCTTCAAAAAGAACTTGAGATACGACAAATATCACTTCCTCCCAATCATCCAAACATTGCACAATCGAAAAGAAACATTGAAGTTGTGAGAAAGAAAATGTAATTTTGTTTTGTGGAACTCATATATTTTCGAAGAAAATAGTTAGTGAAAGTTTTAAGGTGAAGTTTTTGCGGCTTCCTTCCCCATTACAGACCTTAGCAATTAAGAATAACAGACGTCAGACTTTCTAGTTTTTTTTTGAAAAAATTGATCAAGTTATAATTTTGAAAGATAATCAATATCATTGTTTGTGAGCTGATTAACATGTATAATGGTGCATAAGATCTTCTGTAGATATTATAGATATGTAAAACAGATTTATTTGCCAATTAATACAATGCTTATAATAATTGGAATGTTGAATTGTGAAAAACGAATTAAAAAAAATGAAAATTAATGAGCGAATAGTAACAATACAAAATAAAAATAGGGCGCTCTCAAACAAAAAAAATTTTCTGTTTTAAATGTAGAAATAAATAACAAAATCTCGCTCTTGTCATTGATTATTGATGAAAACAACTACAGTGTACATGAAATATTTCGGTTTACATATGATGCATTAGAATATTAAGATTTAAGGATATATGTGAGTTCCACATTTCAGCTCCAAAGGAGCTGCGCTAACAAGCTTTTGTATTTCATTAGAAATTCTTCCAATTATGGAAATTTCAGAAAATAAAGCAAGTAAAAAATTGTATCGTATTTTCATGTTTGATATTTTTTAAATTAACAAAACAAAAAAATAATCAAGTCGTGCTTTACAATTAGTTCATGCATGTTTTCGTACACTTCAAAGTTTAGCAAAAGCTCAACTCGATCAGCTTATGAAAAGCTGTACTTAATTTCCCAAATACGAACAGCACAAATTCTTGTTAAAAATACAAAATAATCGATTTTATTTCATTTATAAATTTTTTATATTCTCTCTTTTAGCGTCTACTTTGTGAACAAACTGAAGATTTAGGAGATTAAGCAACTGAATTAGTCGAAAATATTCAATAAAAAAATATTTATTATTACTATTTTTTTATTGTGTGTAATCGACTCGTCAGATAAATTATGGAAAAAAATATTTGTGAATAAAAAACGAACTAAAATGAAATAATTTTTGTGTATACACTAGTCTACTGTCTAAAAACCTTTTATTCATTTACTAACAAAGTCATTGAATAAAATGTCAACCTATGAAGAAGAACTAAACTGTTTAGCAACAGTTGAGAAATCCTCACATATGGTTTCAACTATGTTTATAGATAAGTTTCCATCCATTGGTTCGAACAGTTTTTTTATATAGCACTGATCTCTAAGTATTTCATGTCTACAGCAGATTCCAATTTTCTATCTAATATTGCCGCTGATTTATGAGGCTTACACTATGAAAAAATCTTGTTTCATAGAGAGACTTTTCTCGATTTATGTTCTCGTAAAAATTTCAGAATTCCTATTAAGATTTCATTTTGTGTGTTTGAGAATAATTACGGGCACATCCACAAGATCTATCGCGAACGAAAATATTCAGATG